CACACTGTTCAAGAATAAAAAACATTAGAAAATGGAACAATCATGTGAGGAAGAGAAAGAGCCTGAACCACAGAAGAACATAAAAGAAACCAAACAAGTAGATGATGAAGACGCTGAGCTCATCTTTGTTGGTGTGGAACATGTAAATGAAGATGCTGAGCTAATCTTTGTTGGGGTGACTTCAAATTCAAAACCAGTCGTTTCAAACATTTTGAACAGAGTCACCCCGGGTTCATGGTCAAGGAGAAAAAAGTATGGTCACCTTAGAAAAGATACTGCTGACAAATTGCAGCCTACAAGTCATGAGACCCTTACATCAGAAGCAGTGACCGACCTGCCAGCTTCCCAACTTGAATCGAGATCAACAGATAGTCCTATTATTATTGAGCCTTTGTCTAAACCTGATTATAAAAATAGTTCACCACAAGTTGTGCCTAATAACTCTTCAGAATTACCTTCTCCTTTGATTACATTCACAGGTTCATTGCATCAGCCAGTAAGTGCAGCACTTTCAGTAGGAGATATAAATGAAAGTCCTCATATATCAAAGCGACTTTCCACTTTCGAAGTAAACAGCATAAATCCCAAAAGGGCTAAACTCAGGGATGGAATTATGGAAGGATACTCTTCAGCTTCGTCCCCTTCAGATACCTTTCATACAATGAATACCCAGCAAAGTACACCCTCAAACAATGTTCATACCTCATTAAGCCATGTTCAGAATGGAGCACCTTTTCCAGCAGCTTTTCCAAAGGACAATATCCATTTCAAGCCTATAAATACAAATCTTGATAGGGAAAATGAATTGACAAAAACAGACATTATGAGTCTAACAAGTCAAAACAAGACCTTTGATCCCAAGAAAGAAAATCCCATTGTGTTACTTAGTGACTTTTACTATGGACAGCATAAAGGAGATGGGCAGCCAGAACAGAAGACTCACACCACCTTTAAATGCCTCAGTTGCGTGAAAGTTCTAAAAAATGTTAAGTTTATGAATCACGTGAAGCATCATTTGGAATTTGAGAAGCAAAAGAACGACAGCTGGGAAAACCACACCACCTGCCAGCACTGCCACCGGCAGTTTCCCACTCCCTTCCAGCTACAGTGTCACATTGAAAATGTCCACACTGCCCAGGAGCCCTCTGCTGTCTGTAAGATCTGTGAATTGTCATTTGAAACAGATCAGGTCCTCTTACAACACATGAAGGACCATCATAAGCCTGGCGAAATGCCCTATGTGTGCCAAGTTTGCCATTACAGATCGTCAGTCTTTGCTGATGTAGAAACACATTTTAGAACGTGCCATGAAAACACAAAGAATTTGCTTTGTCCCTTTTGTCTCAAAATTTTCAAAACAGCAACACCATACATGTGTCATTATAGGGGCCACTGGGGAAAGAGTACACACCAGTGTTCCAAGTGCCGGCTACAGTTTTTAACTTTCAAGGAGAAAATGGAGCACAAGACCCAGTGTCATCAAATGTTTAAGAAGCCTAAGCAACTAGAAGGATTACCTCCTGAAACAAAAGTTACTATTCAAGTGTCACTAGAACCTCTTCAGCCAGGATCAGTAGAAGTAGCATCCATAACTGTGAGCACATCTGACTCCGAACCATCACTCCCCAGGTCTAAAAGCAAAATTTCAAAAAAGTCCCATTAATTCTAGTTTCAGTAAATCTAAAGCAAGTATTTCAAACCAAATTAAAAAACCTCATAAAAACAAAAAATACCAACCATACATTATTCAGTAGCACCAAAAATAGTGAAACTAGTGGATTATATATGACTTTTTAAACAAAATTTAGAATATATATAATTTGATCTGAATTTTGAGGTGTTATTTTAAAACATCTGGTGTTCATGTTAACTGTATCTGGCTTACATAAAAGGTGTGTGTGTGTGTGTGTGTGTGTGTGTATGTGAGAGAGAAGAAGGTATTAATTTATTTTTTTAATTTTAATTTTTTTTTTTTTTTTTTACTTTAGAGACAGGGTCTCACTGTTACCCAGGCTGGAGTGCAGTGGCGTGATCCTAGCTCACTGCAGCCTTGAACTCCTGGGCTCAAGCATTCCTTGGCCTCAGCCTTTGGAGAGTAGCTAGGACTACAGGCGCAGCCACCACACCCAGCTAATTTTTTATTTTAATTTTTTTGTAGCGATGGAGTCTTGTTATGTTGCCCAGGCTGGTCTTGAACTCCTGACCTTAGGGGAGCTTCCTGCCTCAGCCTCCCCAAGTGCTGGGATGTGTGAGCCACTGCCTCTGGCACCTATTTATTATTTTGGTATTTCATGTTACTCCTAAGCTTGAAAAAGCTCTTTTTTCTATATACAGAATTCATAGAATTTTTGAAATACTTAGTTTTCTTTTCAGCTTTTTCCATGCATTCAAGATTTCATGGTTAACTCTAGTCAGACTGGAATGGCTTTGTTATGCCCTGGCCCACTTGCTGTCGAATTCCCAGAAGTGCCTCTGCTGTGCTGACATAAAATAACCTGAAAAGATTCTGAAAAGCCAGGATGTGGAATTGAAAGGGAAGCTGCTGCATGAGCAGAGACCAAGGAGGTGGAAGTTAGTTGAGGGAGAGCAGTGGCTCTTTGTTCTAATTGAAGGATAGGCACACATTCATTCTGGTCTTGGGGCCAGGTCAAAAGGAACACTGCTTCAGAGTATCTTTACCTAACCCAGAAACATCCAAGGAAGCCAATCCATTCAAAGTAAAGTGCTTTTGTTTGGTGAGGGGCCCCTGTAGACATCGAAGAGCGGCCATGTATCATTGGTTTGAGATGAAATAGCAATACAATTAATAATAGAATGGTGCCTGGTGCTAGCTGACTTCCCATTCTGTGATCTAAAGGTGAAATTGATTCATTCTCTCTCCTTTCCCTTCTGGCTAGCCGTTAGTGGAGAATGAACTGGCCATATTCTTCTGAGCCACAGCAGTAAAGCAAGTTAAGTTTCCCAAGGGGAAGAACCCCTGATATTTATAATTTGAACTGTACTGGACTCATAGTTTTAACTGAAAAGGGCCAAACAAGTGGTGTCTGTTCATTTCCTGGACTGGGCTAAATTTAGTTTTCCCACTGTTGAGCTGGAATGAGGACTGTCCAAGAACAGTAGGTACAGTGGACAAAAATAGCCCAGGGTGACTGACTAAATTTAAACCCATAATGGCTTTATATTTTTCTGTGCATATATATCTTACCCTAATTGAACATGTGAAGCTTACAACTTTTATGTCTTGCCTTGGACATGAATGTATTGCAGCTTACAGTTCTTCTGTTTTATGTATAGTTTCCCAGTTTATTGACACTAATGCTGTTTGGGTCTTACTTGATACATACCAGTGTGCAGGAAATGTCTCCCTAATTCAGTAAGTGTTAAGACTTAATGTCCTTCATCTGATCTGTCCTATCTAATCTGTACTGTGGGTGAACCTCTTTCCCTTGCTCTCCCCGGGGGCTGTTTCACAGTATTCTGGAGTACTTTTTGAGTATTGGTTCCTGAACATCAGCAGCCTTGGGTGCCTCTGTGGACTCCCGGAGTTGTCTCCTTGGTTGTGTTCTGGTGCCATCCTTTGTACCTCCACCCCCGACTAAGGTGCCCAGCAACCTGTCTTCACCAGTCATGGACTCTGCCATCTTGGCTATAGATATAGGTCTGGAGAAATCTTTCCCTTTTTCCTTGATTTCTTTTTAAAGGTATATTATCTCTCCCCACTCCTTTTTTCCCTCCTCAATCTAGTTAAATTTCCTAAGCTTTCACAAAAATCTGCGAAGAGATAATTAAGAGCTTAGCATCCCTCTTAGAACTAGAATAGAAGGCAGTACAGATAACAAATAAGTTGTGAGTATATTATCTATATTTTGCAACATTTTCTGACTGTAGCTCCCATTGTATTTATTTGCCTGACACTCACTTGTTTGATTTGCACCTTGAACACTTTACTAGGTCTTTTCAGTTACTTTGCTTGGGTTAAGACACTTTACTAAAATTTCAGCCTGAATCCTTTCTTTAGTTGAAGAAAGGGTATGTGTGTGCAAGTGGGTGTGGTTGTGCCAGTTTTTCTTGTCTCAGGTAGATACTTCTACTGTGTATAAATAGATCTACAGACTTTTCATACTTACCTCCTGTATTCTGTTTCTGTGGTAAAAATATGAAATATTTTAGTTGTATGTTTAGTGATTGGTTGGTATTATCAACACTGTTGTTGTTTGCTGTTTCATTAAAGCATGCTCTTAAGGAGTACATATGGTCATTAATTGCCAACTATAATAGATTCCAGTGATCTGGCCCCTGCCTACCTCCTTACTCTCTTTCATTCTATGTCATGCTTCTCCACTCTTTTCCCCAATGATGCACTATTTTGACACACTGGCCTTGCTATTCCTTAAGCAAATCACATTCTTCCCAATCCAAAGACTTTGCACATGCTATTGTCTTTCTTAGAATGCCCTTCCCCTAGGCCTGCATGGCTTGCTACCTCACTTAATTGTTTGACACTTCCTTTGGTTCATTGAGCTTCAAGGCTCTTAAAATGCCACTGACAATGAGATCTCCCTGTAAAAAAAAAAAAACTTTTACTTTTTCCTCTTAAAGGCACTTTACTCTCTCCCTACTCTTTTCTTCCCTCTTCAGTGTATTTAAATTTCCTAAGTTTTCATGAAAAAGCTAAAAAACGATCATCATCAAGGGCTTTGCTTCTGTCTTAGAGTTGAGCTAGCTCGAGTCAATTTCTGTGCCTGCAACCAAATGAAAATTAATATAGTGAGTTCTTTCAGGAGCTTTCTCTGTTTTTCTATTGATACCTCTATATATTTTTAAGGCAATGTCACTTTGTTTTGTTTACAAATATATTGAATATGTCAAGATTACTATTTTGTTATTACCCTTTGTGAATTTCCTTGTCTATTTTGCTCGCTTGTTCTTTCAGATGAAATTTATTATTTTATTAATGTTGCCAAAAATTATAAGTAAAATATCAATTATAGTAATAAAATGTTTTGTGAAAAATGCTGTTGCTGTATTGTTGCTGTATTGTCTTTGCACCGTAAGTAAAATGGGATGTTTTAGTTT